AATCGTCGTCGGCATAGGTGTCGTCGACATAGGTCCATATTCTTGTAGTGATTCTTTATTATTCTTTATAATTACTCTAAAATTGCTAGGTAAATAACTCCAAAAAAATCGCATATCTATTGAATACTCGCAAAAGAATTCTCTTTTGGTCGGGCCTGGTTTTAAGGGGGGACAAGAGGTGCAGCCGCACAGTGCCCCGAAAAAAATAGGGTCTGAGGTTTAGTTAAATTATATATTTAATAACTAAATATATATGAATTTATTCGAAGTTTTGCATAAAGTCTAGATAGCCCAATTGGTATAAGTGCATGTTCCATTCTTGTGCACAACATTGTTTTAAATTCAAGTTACATTTTTTGCCATTCTATATATTTCATAATCAATCCATCCTTCCAATATGTTTAACAAATCAGTTTTATAATTAACCCTTGAAATTTTTATAAAATTCCTTATGTAATTAGTAACAACAATTCACGGTCTTAAGTTTGTTTTTCTTATATATTAAAAAACTAGGTTATAACCCGTGAGAATCACAGTTATAAAATTAATTAAACTTTCATATTAAAAAAATCAAAAATCAAAATTATTAATCAATTATTTTAAATAAATTATTACTTAAGAGATATTTTTTTAGTTATATAAAAGAAAAAACATCATAAATGGTCCCTGTGGTTACCCAAAATCTGAAGTTTAGTCCCCGTGGTTTAAAAACCTCATAGATGGTCCCTGTGTTTTCAAAACTTTTGATGTTTGGTCCTTTTTGCTAACTCCGTTAGCTTTCTACCGTTAAATGAGGGGTATTTCCGTCATTTAACTATCCAGGGACCTTTTATGAGGTTTTCTTTTATTTTATTTTTTTTAAAAAGAAAAAAATAATTAAATTTAATATCCAATCTCTCTCTCTCTCTCTCTCTCTCTCTCTCTCTCTCTCTCGAACAGACAATAAGATAAACAATCATAAAATGGCAGATCGTTTCTATCCAAATGAAATGTCAGAGTTCATCAAAGAAGAAGATCCACCTCCACCTGAAACCACCACAAATCCCCTAACAAAGACTCTATCTCTTCCCTACAACCTATTTTCCGATCAACTCAAACGAGCAACCTTTGACCTCAAACAAATTGTATTTTCTACTTCTTTATTCCCTTAATTTATGTTTTCTCCCTTTCTTCCTTGTGTTGATTTTTGATTTACACATGTTCCTAATTATAGATTGTATCGGAGACTTGGGAAACACAGGGAAACGTTTAGACGATTACACACTGTACACAAGTGCCCTAGGCACTACTTTGATGGTTTTCAAAGTTTACAAAGTTACACACAGAGAAGAAACAGAAAAGAACATGAAACCAAGAACCACAAAGAACATGAAAGACCTACCCCTTTTCGTCTCTTTACCTGAATCAAACTTTATTTCCCTTCTATCCTCTCTTCATTCACACAAACACAACCGATTTCAGTTTGATTCAAATTTAAGGTTCCGATTCAGACTTCCCCTCTGCCGCCACCGGAGAAAACACAGTCCGTAAACGAGGTCACAATCAGCTATGCTTCTTAGATGCATGTGTCTCATACGTGTCCCGACAAGAAGAAGAAACCGCTGCCCTTTTCTACGACTTGTTCTTAATCGAATCAGGCAGCAAAAATCACAGCTCCCTTCAATCTCTTTTCTCTTAAATCGATCGATCTCTCATCTATTTCTATATTTCCCAAATCACACAAGGATTGGTCCTCCTTATCTAATCGATCGCAATCCTTCCCTCTTCTCTCGAATTTGATGTTGCAGATCTATCATTTCAGGGTCAGATTTGGTGTTGTAGATGTAGACAATGGACCTTGATTTGAGATTTGTGTGTAAGAATGGTCACCAGTGGTAGTGGGTATGAAGGTGGTTGTCGGTGGTGGTAGATATGGCGTTCGTCGGAGGTGGTGTGTAAGAAGCCAATCACAAAATGTAGGCTATGATGGTTGATTCAAGGCTTTCCAGTTTCCACATTCTTGGAGAGAGAGAGAGAGAGAGAGAGAGAGAGAGAGAGAGAGAGAGAGAGAGAGAGAGAGAGAGAGAGTGAGAGAGACATTTTATATATTTAATTATGTTTAATTTTTTCTTTTTTTAAAAAATACGAGAAAACATCATAAATGATCCCTATGGTGGTGAAATGACGAAAATACCCTTCAGTTAACGGACAAACTTAACGGAGTTAGCAAAAAGGATCAAACATCAAAAGTTTTGAAAACGCAGGGACCATCTATGAGGTTTTTAAACCACGGAGACTAAACTTCAGATTTTGGGTAACCACAGGGACCATTTATGATGTTTTTTCTATATAAAATTATAATCGTTGATTTAAATAAATACATTAAATTATATCATCTTATAATCTGTATTAATTTTATTTTATTTTTCAATCTAATTTTGTTAATTTAATATAATTAAAGAGAGAAAATTTAAAATGAAGAATCAATTATTTATTTAATGTAATTAGAATGAGAAATTTAAAAATTAAATTTGAAATGGATAATCAATTATGAATTTAATTTAATTAAAGTGGAAATTTAAAATTTGAAATTTAAAATGGATGGTTGACAAGTGGCATGATAGATGATATATAACATTAACTAGATGTTAAGCCCGTGTATTATACGGGTTGATTTAAAAAATATTAAATATTAAAGTGTAACATTTACAAATTTTTAAAATAAAATTTTGAAATAATAAATAAGGAAGAAACATATTCATTGCAATTTATGTCACATTTATTACAATATATATATATATATATATATATATATTATATATATATATATATATATATATATATATAAGTATAAGTGTTATGTGGCATTTTGATTTTAAATTTTGAAAAAATCCAGAAAATGACATGTGGATATTATTTATTCTAAAAATACAATAAAATGACAAATGTCAAAACTCATAAAAGATTGACATGTGACAAAATAGATATTCATTTATCAAAGTAGATAAGGAGTTTTAATTGTATGTCATTTGTCAGTAAGAGATTAAACATATTTTTTTATTAAGATAGGTACAAGGATTGTATTTATAAAGGCCTCATTTTTCTTATTAGCACATGGTACTTACAAACTCCGAGCCGCCCTGCTTTTGGTACTAGCTAGAAATTTGTGATATGCAACTCCTAATCACCTTCGTAAATTCTACGGTAGTAGGCTAGTAGCAATGAACTTCCGATGGCTACAAGGAAACCCAGTTTACAAGGAAATGTGTTGTCCAATGCATCTCTCTTTGGACCTATTAACTTTTAATTTGAAACCCAAAACACCCATGAAGACATATTAAAAACTGAAGCTTACCACAGATCCCTAAAAAACCCATGTAGAAAAGAATGGTTTTTAGTAAGTGACGAACATAACCACGAATGGAATAAATTTGATGGGTCACCTTACATTATTAAATTCCCACCATAAATAGACATATTCTCATCTTCTCTGTAATACCCATTAAGAACAACATATGTTCATATTTTCTCTTTCTATTTTGGCGCAACTGAACTGATCAACGAAGCTATAAATGGGGATAGATGATGACACATTCTGCAAGAACCTTCGGTAATAACATAGCTTAACCGGATCTAGCTAGGGGTTATGGAGGACACTATAGGTGTAAATTAAGGGGTTTAATATATTAACTAAAGCCAAGCTGGACGAGAGTAACGTTATTACAGAAAAATGCATAAAAGCCAAAAGCAAACCCAGCTAATACATAAATTACTGAAACAAGTTTTCTGGATATTTTTACTTGATCCAAAAAACGTTTTTAGCATGATGAATTTTTTATACATCTATATTAATATACCGCTAGCTAGTAGTTCAACATTGATCAATATTGAATTTTAAACTTAGAATCTTTACTTATATGCCAACATATATATATATATATATATATATATATATATATATATATATATATATATATATATATATATATATATATATATATATATATATATAGGGGATAGGGAATATACATTACAGCCCCACCTAAGCTTAGGTACTAAACCTCTAAAATATGTCGTTTTAACATGCTAAATATGCCCGGTTTGGTTTCACTTGGTAAATATATCATCCTCCATAACATTTCTTTCTTTCATTATCGTTTTAGCATCTCTGTTTTCTTTCCTCAATTATCGTTTATTACTTCACCCAAGTGAACATTACTAAACCCTAAATTTAAACCCTAAACCCTAAACCTAAACCCTAAACCCTAAACCTTAAACCCTAAACGCTAACCCTAAACCCTAAACCTAAACCGTAAACCCTAAATCTAAACCCTAAACCCTAAACCCTAAACCTAAACCCTAAACCCTATTGTGTCGATCTTGAATTTACATCTTGAAGTATTAACCGTAATCTTTATATAGTAAAACAATGTATTTTCAAGAGGTTTAGTACCTAAGCTTAGGTGAGGCTGTAATGTATATTCCCTTTTCCCATATATATATATATATATATATATATATATATATATATATATATATATATATATATATTATCAGTTAAAAAGAGTCACAGAGCTTTATTTAGAGCAAAATATAATTGAAAGCATTCATGTTTCTTTCATATATCACAACCAAAAGATAGGGAAAGGATCAAAGAGATTCTAGCCCAACGGTATCCGGTGTTGTCCTTTCTTCTTGAGGTCGAGTGTTCAAGTCTCACTGTGAGCATAGGTGAAATAATTTAGGAGTAGTTTAGTATATATTTGTATTTGCCGTTCCAAAAAAAAAAAAAAGATAGGGAAAGGGAAATAAATATGATGGAAACATGAGTGCTTCATTAACTTGTTTGTAACTCAAACATCAAATGGTTAACATGAGAAATAATTAATAGCAAAAGACTGAAAACCGTCAAACTTCTTAGTACTTCACTAATTTATTTCTCAAGCAATTAGAAAACAGTCACTAATAGTGTAACCCTAGCTACATTATTAGATTGTTGGAAGATTCACCATGCAAGCTAGTTAGCGAGCTAGCCTCAACTCTAGGTCCAACCCGTCCATGATGGTTGGTGTAACACCCGTCTTCTGTCTCTTGCAACAAGATCCAGTATTCGAACAAGAATCCAACTCAAACCCTATGACCAAATTTGTTTCAACATCACCATTGCCATGAGCTATAGCAAAATCTTCATCGTAAACATAACTCTTTGTGTCTGAATTGGTTTCAAAACTTTCTTCACCTAATTCTGGTATTGAAGAAGCCCTAGACGGTGAAAGAGCTAACGGAAAGAAACCAGGATCTAAAGACTCTTTACAAAGATTTTGCTTATTATGGTTCTTTGGTGCCATTTTAGTTGTACAGATAGTAGCACTACTAGTAAGATTTACGGTGTGCTTGAGCTTGGCTCTTTCTTTCCTATGCACATTCATGTGACCACCTAGTGCTTGAGCTGACCTGAACTCTCGTTTACAAAAGCTGCAAGAATAAGACCTTGGAGGCCATACGAACCCCCCAAAAGGGCCTCGACCATCTTCTGCAAACGCTTGTTCTTCCCATGAATGGCTGGAAAATGGATTCATAAGGATATTGCTGTTGTTGCTCTTAACCAACATCAAGTATTGTGAGTATTGCTCCATATGTTGAAACTTTTTCAGAGAGAAAGAGACATATAGAGCATAGTACCGAAGAGTGATATATTCATATACTTATAGCTGGACTGGAGGAGTGTGTGTGTGTGTGTGAGAGAGAGAGAGAGAGAGAGAGAGAGAGAGAGAGAGAGAGAGAGAGAGAGAGAGAGAGAGAGAGAGAGAGAGAGAGAGAGAGAGAGAGAGAGAGAGAGAGAGAGAGAGAGTAGTGTTATATTTGTTAACATTGAATGCAAGAAACCTACAAGAGAATCTAAATGGAAGAGAATAAGGGTTTGATGAAAAGGCCATATATGCGTTGGTTTTTAGAGAGAGCGAGGTCTGTTTTGGCTGTTTCAATGGAGCGTACTTGAGTTTTTTTAGTCAAGGGTTGATAAACAGTCACTGTCCTCTAGCTAAAACATAAGCCCCTATCGTACATATGCATGTATGGACATCTCATGTGACTATTATATATTACAAGCTAATGCAAGACAATACTAAGTTTCATAGAGTATCCCAACGAACAACCCATAAATAATTAATATCCCCTTCAAATTATCAAAGAAACTGTACAAAAAATATTTCGATTCACCTCTTCTGCTGTGGGTCGCATTCAAAGGATTAAGCTTTTACAATATGAAGGTTTCTCGTCATGTACGTATACTTTCAATCAATTTGATTTTATGGACTAAATATAAATGGTTATAACAGATTATAACAAATCACGCCTGGTCCAATACGTGATATAAAATTTTATCCTAAAAAGGTACGTATATTAATCGATACTTATAGTAAATTAAGGTTTGTGAATAACACCAAAAATAATATTTGTTCATTTTGTAAGCTTCGATTTGTTTCTCTCAAAGGGTCAAGTTATAATTTAAATAATTAATTTGGTTAATTAATTAGTGTAGAAGTTTATCTTGTTCTGTGTACGGGTTCGAATGGACTTCGAATCGTTTTATTCGTCCTTCAAGATCAAGTCCAAATTTAAAGTCAAATCATATATGTCTATTTTCATAAATAACTACTCTCACTTTAACATAACAAAACATGATTAATCGTACGTAATTCTCTCTTTTTTTTTTTTAAAATATTGTACAGTAATAAAATATTGATGTGTTGTTTTTATACCATTAGTTTTAAATTTATAAAAACATTTGGAATTTCAACTAGTTTTAAAATACAAATAGGCACTACACTTAATTGTGAAGTTATACAACATAAGGTAAGAAAGAGTATTGAATCAAAAGGAATGAGTATCATTTTGATTCAAATAAATAAGCTAATAATTAAACTAAAACATAAAAAAAAAGTTGGGGGGGGGGGGGAGGAGGGTTATTTAAATTATTTAACTTGTTTAAACACTCCAGTTAAGCAAACAAAAGCAAAGAATTAGTTTGTAAAACAGTAAATTGAAGTACTTCCACTAGAATACAAATACTCATAGTTTCTATGTTTGACTTGTTAGCATGTAACTAATTAATGAGTTGGTTAACGAATTTTATGACTAGTTATCTTGGTCGGAAATTCTAGTACTAATGAATAATGAATATTCAATCCCAATGATCATGCAATTAGTGAACACAAAACCATTTAAATAAATTGAACTATGAACGATATGATCTAATGATTCTTATCAATGGTCATGACAATAAATCAAACATAACATGGATAACTATAGTTTTTTAACACAATCAAAGTTAATAATTTATATTACATAGCCCTAAGATTAGATAAATCTCTAGTCCTAACAATTTTATGATTATAAACAATTAATAATCCAGCTAATGTAATTAGATTTATCATCTAAACTACACATAACTCACAAGTAGGCAATAAAAATCATAACTTTAACATGAAAGGTAAACAATCAATGGAACACAACTTTAAATTCAACTCATATAATCCTACTAACAAAATCAAAACATATCAAATAGGGTTCATCTACATCTAGTGAAAGTAATAAGGTTTTTAACCTTGCATCATAACTAGAAAAGAGAATCTAACGAATTCAGAATTGAAATACATGATATAAAACAAACCAAAATGATAAAATCAATGAATTATTTCTTGATCTTCAAATACACACTTCAAAGGTGTTCTTCAGCTCTAATAAAAACATCTGGAGTCAAATAACTTGCTCCCCGGCCAAGTTGGTGTAAGTTGGCCTCTGAATTAGAGCTTCAAAACCCATATATTTATAAAATTACTTCGTCATGGTGTGGTAAAGATCTCACCAAATCGTGGTGTCGGGTTTCCTTGTTGCACACGAACACATATACCGACATGGAATTTTTGTTCTGGAATTTTCTATAGTGCGTGAGGCGTCTCATAAGAGGGTGTGGCGCGTCTTCAACTCCTTTCCCGGATTCCTTCATTTTATGCCCATTTCAACTTCGTTCTCCTGCTTTTGCATCTCAACTCTGATTTTAACTGTAAATGAACATTTCAAAGTATATTAAGTATCATATATCTTAAAATTTAATATTTTTAATCAAATATATTAAAATAATAGCCTAAAATATATAGTTAAATAAAGCCATATCAAAATACTCCACACTTATTTTTTTTTGTTTGTTCTCAAGCAATCTATATTGTTATTATACGCTTATCAAAACCTTGCTCACCAACATCATATAGAATAACCCAATTTAAATTTGTCAATTATGTATCGCCTTAACGCATATATTTGTGTCTAAAATCATAATTAATTCCTAAATCTTAAATACTCACAATCCTCATAAACATGCCCCGACATGTTGTTATTGTATATATTATTTGTTTGTGTGTTGGTACCTTGGGGATCTCATTAAGCGTTGACTTACAGTTTTGGGTTATGGTTCAGGTACTTCAGATGACCGCGGGAAGGTGAATGCGTGACCGTACACATCCTCATGTTTTGACTTATGATTTGGGGAAAACTCTGATGTTGGAATGTATTTGAAAACTATGTTTGTAAACAATTTGTGAATTGGGTTGGTTTTTAAAAGTTTAAATTTATCATGATTTTTATCGATGTTACACCACTCGGTTTGAACAATATTCATTTTTGCATCCCTTCGAATATACCCCTTCAAAAATTCTCCCAACCTTAAGATATTTTTGTTAAGTTTTCATGTATACATACGATAACATAACATAGAAATAAAAGTTACAACTTTTCTTTCGAAGGCTTTAGAATTTGTAACTTTTGGATATTTGACTTGGCTTTTGTGTCATCATTTCTTGATCTTCATGCTTTTTAAGTTCTTATCGACTTAATATCTTTTCACACTCTTTTTTAATTTTTCACAACTTTTTTTTTCTTTTTAGTTTTTTCATAACTTACTTTTTTTTCGCTCAACTAAAAACCAAAATAAAAACATATGATTAAGTTCGAAAGCTTAACCTCAACCTTTATTGGTTAAATATATTAATCTATTGTACAATGATTACATAAATTTTAAGGGTACATTTCAGCAAACAATGCAAAACATATTATATCCTTTAAACTGCACAAGATTACGTTTTTGTCTAATTATTTCACCGGAACTATGAAGCCACAAATATATTATTACATATTAGCTAAACATAACATTTAAATTTACATCACATTATCCCACACAATACTAACAAACTTAGCTCTAACACTATAATATTAAAGCAAAAAAAATTTAATTTACTAGATTTTTTTATTTAACACCATTTTTCAAGTCTCTATTTTCCCAAATTTTAATACCTTTCAATTTAGCATAATAATTTTTTTTAAATCTAGCATGATTTTTCATCATTCTTCAATCACCATACCCCACACTTCAATTATACAATGCCCTCATTGTGTGTCATAACAATTAAACATATAAAATAAAAAAGGGAGAAAATGAACGGACTTGTCTTAGGTATGTAGTCTCGAGATTGGATTGGCTGTCGTGGGTTGCTCGTTGATACCAAATTTGAATCTTTATGTTGGAATACTTTCGGAAACTGAACTTCATTACTAAATATAATAGACTTTTTGCAATAGAAATAGTCGGACAAGTAATCTTCATAGCTCAAAAATAAAGTCGCATGGGGCATTACCACGTCATTGCAAGTTAGACACCGCATCGTGGTCTCGTAGTAAAATGGCGAGTAATCACGTAAAATCTTCTTCGCAACGCACAGTTGGAATTAGCACGTAGCGGTCTCGTGAAAATAAGATCTTGATGTAAAATATCGTCGAAACACACTGATAGGATTGACATGTTCAGATCTTCAAATATCGGGAAAATAAGTCGTGATGTAATGGATGGCCACATCGCGGGTTAGCTAGGCTCAGAGCCCGACTTCACGAATAGTGTAATTCTAAATCGCTAAAAATAATCGACCAATCAGAAGGTGATCAGAATCTCTACCAGTCTCTCTTATTAGTTTCATCCCCTAATAGAATTGATAGCTATGTAGACTCTTTAGTTTTACTCCATGTCCAATGTGCACCCCACACTTATTTATGTGTCACGCCTCTTGTTGTCTCTTTGTCTCTTTTTGTAACGTCCGCAGATTCAGACTAGACATTTAAGATATAATAGATAATCTTAGCTAAATAGATAGTAGTCGTAATGACTATATCATGGATATAAGGCGCTGAAATCCGATTTCGTATGAAGAAGTTATGCTTCTTCGAAGTTTCGAGATCAAACCGACACAGATGTGCGTTTCAAGAAAAATGAATCGAAGATAGATTGCGTATTTGTAATACTCAGAATTCGGTATGTTACCTTTTGGACCTTGGATTAAATTTATTATGCATGGGAGGCCCTTCCATATGCTGGGCATACATGTGTGTACGCTTAGCGTACAAGGGTGATTTGGACACAGAACTTAACCACGTATGCTGGGCGTACTACGGTGCACGTGGGGCGTACATGACAGTGGCTAAAACCCTAATCTTCAAACTTGTTCCCTATTTAAACCCATTTATGGCCTTTGTACCCTCACCTTTATCAAGATCCTCACCCTTAAACATCCCTTGAAACCCTAAGTGGCCA